CATGTTTCTGTACTACTTTCAATTGTCTCAGTCTCCCTGCTATCAAAATTTGGGTTGTACAGGGTAAACAGGCTGTAGCTCCTTCAGTAATAAAATTCCCATCAGTACATATTCCTGCCTAAAGAAGAAGGAAGGTAGAATCTGAATTCATGAAAAGAATCTGCCTGTAAGAACCAGACACTGCAGTTCAACTTGAGGGTTTGTTTTAAATTGCAGTGCTTGACCACAAAGCTTTATTCAGTGATAAGTAAGAAACACTTTCTAAATCAGGCTATAGAATATTTTGGTGAAAAAAAATAAGGCTGGATACTTGCACAAAAATGCACATAGCGTGCTCCAAAGAACAACTCACAAATCTTAAAGGATTATACACATGAAAGGAAGTTAGGTGGTTAAACTCCTGCCAACCATCCTTTGACACAAACGTAAGGGTCCCTACTTACTGCCTTTCAATAAATCCACATTAGATCTATAAACAGTTTACCATTTAACAAATTGTTATTTTAGAAAAGATAATCTGTCCCTTTAGCAAGCATGCCCACTCCCACCATTAGAATGCAGCTACACAAGCAACTGATTCAGCACAACTAAGGTGACAAACTTCCTGGGCAGGCAGGATGGGAATGGGTGGGGAACCTCCTCAAGCAGATCAGCCAGTAGCAAACAGAAACCTTCTTCATATGTAACAGATCTGCTGCAGGTCGCTTCCTATCCTCGGGGCTTGTTCCTGTTTCTTGCCAGAGATTTCCAACCCCTAGTTTTTGCTAGATGCCAAATCACTTAATACAGTAATAATCTTTTCATTAAGAAATTGGATGCCTCTGTCTAAGGTGGCACATTTTTTGGGAGGGGCAGTCAGATGCACAATGTCTCGATTCTCAAAAATCAAGTGTTTACATTTCGCACTGTGTAACCTAACCCAAGGATAAAAATAAAAAATGGGGATTTATAAAAGTGAAAGCCTTCAGTAAGAACTTGGGACCGGGATGCATAGATTAGTGCGTCATTTTTCATCAGAACAAAGTATATCTGCATTCTGCTCAGCCAGTAAGATGAACCCCATGACAGAGCATTAGGTGTGAGCCACTGGGATGGGCTCTTCATTAACAAACACTTAGAGGACTGTAGATTAATTACAGTCAGACAGAAAAGGAAGAAACCATGCCATTGAGCATGCTGTTATCCTATCTTACCAGAGGACCTTGCTGTAACCTCACAACTTGCAACAGATGCTCTGGAAGCAATTGCCTGCTGTAAGCAGAATATTAGAAGTGACAGGCTTTATGTTCTGAAGTTCTTTAGTCATGAATTACAGTTAGTTGCAGCATTTCATACTTACTTATAATTGTCATCTTCTACAAACTTTTGTAGTTCTTCTATGTACTGAACCGAGTTTAGATATTTCTGGACGTGAGGCAACAGAGGAATATCTGGAGAACAGATGACATTCATTATCACCGTACCGTTCAGTAAGCAAAGTTCTTTTCCAGAAAATATTTAAACAGAATCAGATCACTTACCTTTTAATGTGAGACAGAGGTACAAACTACAGTTTCTATTGCTGCTGAATTTTGTAGTCCTCCAAATTCTCATGCACTGAGTTTACATTCTCCACTTACATAAACCAAGTATGTTTCCCTGTAGAGCACTTTGAGCTGCTCTGCTTATCAGATTATGTGGAAGTGAGATGTGGGAGAGAACCCCTGGCCAAACTGAAGTTTCAAACCTGTAGGACTCTATCTGAGGGCTCCTTCACAGACCACATTCTCATTATATTGAGCTTTCAGTGGAGCCACAATCCTCTGCTAATATCACATTCCACCATCCCAAATGCAGCTTTACAACTTCACTAGAAATTGAAGAGAGGGACTGTGAGGGAGACCACCTTTGAAGAAACAATACTTCATCTGATGCACGAACAGCACTGTAAATGTCCAAAAGGCAAGCTGTACACATTTTTATTATCTCCAGTAAAAGAAATACTCCAAAAGCAATCTTAATATTTTTAGAAATCATCATAAAGTTATGGAACACAGAGATGTAAGTTATACTGCATGTACCAGCAAAACTACTGTTAAATGCAATGTATTCCACATTTTTCTCTAGAATGTACGTACTGCAAATGTGTGTGCGACTTAAGGAAAAGGGAACTTTACTCTTTTATCCCATGCTGATGCTCTATCATAACTAACAACATCAAAATAAATTTTACACTTTTGAGCTGAGAGGGCAAGGCAGAAAGATGATGGCATATGAAAGGGTTACGCCTTGCTTGCTTAGTATTACAGAAGAGAAATATCAAAGCTGTTGAGGTTGCTCTTTAACACCACAGTATTCACACTCTAGCTTACCATATTCACAGGACTGTTGTAAGTCTGAGATAATTCGTAGGATGTTGTTCATTAAGTTTGTTCTTTGCTCACTTTCCAGAATGCTCCCCGTCGATGGGTATGCAGAATCAATGTACGTCAAGTCTGACAGATAAATACCTGAGCAAGATTAGAATGGAAGATTTCCTTAGTGTCTCACATTTACCAGAAAAAATTGCAAAGAATATTTCAAAGAATTTCTTGCTTTCATCGACAAATTATCTCAGTAGGTTATTTTGGATATGCCCGAGACCTTTGGCAAGATCTACAAGAGCCTTCAGACCTCAAAGTAAAACAGTAAGAATGCCTGGACTTCCAAGAAGACACATCACCATACCTCCTCTGCCTGGGATTGAGTCTAAGTTCCGCTCCATGACTTAGTCCTTAGTTTTTGTACCCCTAGCTCAGCTGTATTTGTAGATGCCATGGGTACAGGCACATGGTTTTCTGGCACAGAAAGTCTCAGCGGGACAGAAAGGATCTTTTTTTCCTCCTGCACTGTGCCAGGCATGCACTAGCTGCCTTGAACACTGACAGCATCCTTCTAAATTTTGAAGTAATTACAAGAGCTATCTGAGATTACACACAGCTACTCATGCACCTATTCTTCTGCCACGCTACCAGCAAGAAATTCCCCTTGACAATTATGAAGTAATCACATAATGCTAAAATACCTGATTAAGTTGATTAAGGTTTTTAAGAGAGTCTACTACTTAATTCCTCCAAAATTCCTCCACAAAAAAAGCAACAGAAGAAAAAAACATCTCATCTACAACTCCTCAACCGGAATGAAAACTCACACTCAACTTGTAATATGGGAAAAGTTAACTAGGTAAGAAGTGCATGCATTAAAACACAGTATGAATTGTGCAGTTTATATTCACCATAACTGCTAAGACCCAACCTTATTCTTAGGTCTTCAAGTCTTATGTCTTTTTTCTTCCTCACCAGCATCGTAATTTCACCATTCTTTCATCCTTTGATTATGCACAAGGGGTGAGTCCTCTTCTGTGTGAGTTCCTGTTAGTGATACACTGCTCATTTTGCTTATTTTCATTCTCCATCTCTAGAATTTCACCTACAGCCTAACCTTTCTCAGCCCAATTAAATGAAACACCCTGACCAACTAATCCTGCCATTAAAAAGCAACTGCGCTTCTACATCTTTCACAATATGACTATAAAAATATCTAAACTTGAAAACATTATTGGAGAAACTTGTTTCAATCACAGGGAATTTTTAAAAGTATATTTTGCTTCATGCTCAGACTTGTATAACCAGAATCATAACAAAAAGCGTGGCTTTACAGGTGGAAGGCTGTTAATACAATCTCACTAGAACAGCAGTCGTGTTTGTATAGCACCCAACCAGTACAGCCCTCAAATGCGAGCTGGGAAACTCTGGGCATCACTCCAAAATCAACACATACATGCGCGTGTGCGCACACACACAGAAACAAATTAAAATACCTGTGGTTGAAAGGTGACATATAAAAAAGTGAATTAAAAGGTATTACACATGACCTGATCTAATACTAAAATTCTCTGTTTTCCATTCTGCTAAAATCAGCTTATTTAAAAAAAATCTGAAAGATCATATATTCACATTTACATTGCGATGTTATCCTGACTGCATGAACCTATCCCTGAGCTCAGCTTTGTTAAGCAATGTCCAAGCAGGCCTTAAAAAGCCCAAAGCTACTCAATGTTTTGTAGAAAAAATAAAAATCAATCATGCCTACTAACTATAATTAAAGAAATCCCCTGTGAAGAAGCACCTGCAGTATCACGCACAAGCTTAGAAGCCAGTTGCACAATTCTCTTTCTGAATGACTTAAGCAATTCAGCATGAATTTTTCTTTTATCTCCATCAAGAGCTTTCCTGTAGAGAGCTGCTCTCTGAAATTTTTTGGCTCATTTTTATAAAGTCTAAAACAGTCCTGAAATTGTTTGAAGGTCATTCTTTCCAGTGTAACTGGTTTGTCTTCTGTGAAGAAATCGATGACAGTAAAACCAATGCACTGAACTGCTGCCTTACTCCACAGAGCTGCATCCTGCATTCCTCACTGGCTGTGTTCTTTTTTTCTACTTCTAACCCTAATCAGATGTTATCAAACACTCTGATATCGACTCCAAGCTATCACAGCCAGCTCTAACATCTCCCACATGCATCAGAGCCTTCACGCATTTACCAACTGGAACTGTTTCTTATTAAGGGAACGTCAGGAATTGAATGTGACATTCTATTAACATTCTTCTCGACTATAAATGGTTCATTTTTCCCTGTTGTATCCAGCCAGGCTGCCCCTTTTATTCCCAGCAACACAAATGGAGTTTTATCAGCCTGAAAGAATCTTTCTTCTAAATGAAGCCCAGCACTGTAACAACTTGAAAGGCATCTTTAGGCAGCGTAGTAAAAATGTTTGATTTGTAATTGCCTGCTGAACTCTTGCACAGTCTGTTGCCATATGGTACCCTCCCCTCAGCTGGCAAACAATCTTTCCTTGTTCCTGACTCCTCGGCCTCCCTGCCCCCGCTTTTCTGGAGGGTATGGATAGGAAATCCGAAGGAGGAGTTTCTGCTGCTCTTCGTGTTGGCGGTGACATCATAGGTGGGCTGAACGGCTGAGGCTGGTGTGTTTGTTTAAAAAAAACTGTCCAAATGTGATGTATATGGAATCTGGGTCAGCTGTAGCTGGTTAGTGCACTTCTGCATGGGAGAGTACAACACCGCAGCTTCAAAAAAAAAAACAACAAAAAAAAACACATTGCTTTTTTTCCCTCCCTCCGGAATAAAACATACTGGAACTTTTTCTTCAATTATATTTAAATGATTTAAGTAGTTTGCTTATCGCATGGAGAAACCCAACTCCCCAGCGCAGCCTGGAGCTAACAGAGAAAGACAAAAGCAGTTTTCAACGACAACTGCAGCTTAACAATCTGCAACATTAGAAAACACAGAAAGAAAAGGCAACTTGGCCTCCGGATCGTCCACCTACGACAGAAGCAAACCAGCTGCAACATTCTTTTCTCTTGGTAAGTTTTCACATTATTCTTTCTTGCAAGTCTAATTTTGAGCTATATGCAAATTCTGCATGCATCCATCATCCACAGGCAATTATGAACAAACGAACCTCTCTCAGCCTGAGAGCAGTTTGACAAGTAAAATACAGACCTCATTTTCGTGACGTTTGGTAGAAACTTGGAAGGAATTAAAAAGCACTCTGCTTAAGAGCAGGGACTAACTCATTCCAGTTGCAAGGATGAACAAGTTTCAGTTGCTCTGCTGTAAATCTCCTGTAAGTTTTATGTTACTGAAAGTTACTGAGAAATCAGTACTATCAGATTCTTTGTTACGCATACAATTGGATATTGTGAACGGATTCATGTGAAAATCAGATCCCGCCAGAAAGCAAAAGCCAAAATTGCCATCGACCTCAGGGAGCTGGATTTCGCCCAGTGTTACAGCTCAGACCTAGCATTACTAGAAAATGGATACCTCAATAAAACTACTGTAAGAAATCCTAAGTAAACCAATGCACATCTCTAAGTACAATCATTGTGTGCCTTTCCAACTACAGCTTTATTTACGCTGCTTCTGAGTAGTGGAAGCAGCACGATTTGTACGACCGGTCAAGAAACCAGAGTCATTCACTGGTTCTGAACAAAATTAAGTTTGCAGCACTGCAGTCGTGGAGCCGAAAATCCAAAGGAATTGCTGTAATGGGCACTAGGCTCTTCCTTCTACAGAGTGTGTAAAGAGGGAAAAGAAAATTAAACGTATCGGAATGTAGCAGCAGCTTGTTTTCAAACAGTTTCATAAAAATGAAACGCAACTGACAAGGCAACAGTTTGCCTTGGAAAACAGAGGGGTTTGTTACAGTTCTTGAGGGGGTGGGAGGGGGAAAAGATGAAGTTACAAAGCAGCGATTAAAACAAGAACACTGCTTTACAAACAGAAAACAAAAGTACAGGGAGAAATAAACAAAGAAGTTGTTAAAACAAGTTGCTACTTTTGCCTTCCTTTATGCTGACTTTGAAATGAGAATATGGCAAATAATCCAGAACAATAGAAAAGAATTTAAGTTTCACATTTGCATTAACAAGCCCTCAGAAACGTCCGGCACAGCAAGAGGGTGAAGGGTGAACTCTGAAAGAAGAGTTACAGCAGCAAACTTAATGAAAATTTAGTAGCTATGGAATGAAGAAGTCTGAGGCAACCTTGACAAACAGAAAGATGGAGTCTTTCCAAGCTCTTGAGCCTTTTCTTTTCTTTTTTCTTTCTTTTTTTTTTTTTTTTTTTTGAACTATCCTTCTGTGCTTCCTACATGCTAACAGGAACAACTTAAGTCACAACAGCAACAACAAAAACCCATCTGAAGCCTACATTACATGCTTTGGACATCCATTCATTACTCCCCAAGCTTTTGATTTACACTGCTTAGAACAATTCCTAAATCTTTCCCAAATGAAAACAGCTGAGTCAATAATTTTACAGCAGTAAAATGGTTACATGCGAGGTTTTAACTCCTGCTCCTTTGCTGTCTTCCAGCTTTGGAGTTCAAGTTTTGAAAAGCTTATTTTAAACAAATAATGGGCTATTAATATTACGGTGTTGCCACAAGAATGATTTGAAATGTGATGGCCATGTAAACTTCTGCCAATAACTGCAGGCTATTATCAGGTTTTAATTATTGTTTTACTGGGCTTAATTGGCTGCTCGTAACATGTCCTATTAGTCTGGTCCTTGAAATTTACACAGCGATGAATGAAGCAGAACTTCCCAGAGCAAACAATTGCTAGATGCCTGACAGCTTTAGACTCCTGGAGGCCCCCAAATAACACAACAGAACGCACCAGTCTACTGGGGCTGCTTGTTAAGATGCTCCATCAAAACACGATGGGTGCAAACAAATGTAAACGAATCCTCATTAAGTTGCAGTAAAACACACACTTGTTGCTGGTTTTCAGAATATCTAGTATGACATGGTCTACAAATCTCTCCTGCAGGGAATTTCTAAGAACCTATCATTTCTTGAAGTGATAGATTTATAGTGAGTACTTCAAAAAAATACCTGAATATTTTTATTGCCTTTCCTAAAAGGAATCAGACTCCTGTTAAGCTCAGAAGTAGAATTCTGCCAGTCAATTCATCATCTATCCGACAAACAAAACTCAAGAACTTATTATTTCTGGACTCCAGTCAAAACAATTGAAAGCAATCCTGTTATTCCACCGAACACTTACTGGAAAAGCACTTGTTTATACAGGGGAAAGTAATTTACAGATGTACACAGATGCATCAGGAATCCATGTGAACTTTTTTTCCCCGCAGTGTTTTCCCATAGCAGTATGACTTCTAATGCTATGGACACAGACCTGAGCTAAAAACACTGTGCTTATTTGTGTCGGGGTAGGGGAATATAGATGGCTTTAATAATTTTAACTGCTTAGAGGATGTTAAAGAGAAAATGTACGTCTATGAGAAACATCAGCAATAAAGCTTTCAGATTTAATCATTCTCATAGGAACATTACTCTCACCATATCATTTACTTGCTCAAAAGCAAACAAAAAACTCAGCTGTTTTTTATAAACATGTACAACTTCCTGTTGTACGTGTTTATAAATGGAGGCTTATATAAAAGGCCCTGGTTAATATTTATCATCTGACCAAATCCTTTTGATAAATATTCTGGGTAAAGATAGATGCTGACACCGTGCTTTCCATAGAAAGGGAAGCCTACATTCACGTTTACCTGCAGCATTTCCATTACAGTCAGTCATCACAACCTACACAGCCCAGGGAGAGGTGATTTTCATCAGCTCTGAAAGAACAGATTTCCTAATTTCTGCTGTGGGTCTCCAAATTCTACGTCCTGCTGAACATTACACTCGTAGCAGCTCGATAAAGAACAAGGTTTGCAGCGCAGATAGTTAAAAGAAAGTACTCCTAAACCATTTCCCATCTCCAGTATTAGTCATTTTAAAGTCTCACATATTAGGCTATCGCTCTGGGATATTTTGGATAAGCAGCTTGTATTTTTATTTTATTTTATTTTATTTTTTTTTTAAGCTGCTTGCCCAGACCATCAGGAAATTTTTGAAACAGTGCTTTCATTTCCTTCTAAGATGATAAAAGCTCCAGGTAAATATGTTACGCAGAACCAGCTCTTGCATGACAAGCTCAGCATTAAGTTGCTTTAGCACCCCAAACAACATCTTAAAATGTTTAATTTTTTCCACCATCAAGTTTTCTGTGGAAGTACACATTACCTACCAGGTAGATTCTCAGAAGAAACTCACCTTTGCGTATGAGAATGAGTGAGTTTAATACAAGCTGTTTCAATTACTTAAAAGTTCTAGGGCATAATGTTGTGCAGCTGTTTCATTTGGTTATGCTACATAGACCATTTCATTCATTTTATAGTCCAACAGCACACATGTTGACAAAGAACTTCAAACTTTATTAAGCACGCAAGCTTAAATGTTCAAAATGAACATAATGATTAAAAGATAGTGGAAAGCAAGCTGCTACAGACTACTTGGTCAAATAGGGGTTTGCACTGCAAAATGTTTTACTTTTTTCAAATATTCATTTTATGTGCTTCAGGGGAAAAAACGTATTGCTTTTCCTCTCCCAGCCACTGATTACTTAAGTAACTGTACAGGTCTTAAAATAACTGCCAGGGACTAAGATGTTCTTCACCTTGTTAGGCTATGAAGTAGCTGCTATTAAAAAAAAAAGTAATATACTGAAATTTAATTACAGTTTCATACAGTGCACCATAAAGTCACTTTTCCTTCAACTGAAAATACTGAAGAACAACTGAAAAACAATTTAAGGGACACAACAGAGGTTTCCAACTTCAGTCTATTAATTTAGCTCATCCTTCTCCAGTTCAACACCACACACAGTTCTGTTTCCCACATCATCACCACGATTCATGTTGAAATTTAAACTAATGAACTTCAAACTCCGAGCACCACTTGAGTCATTACTGAAGCCTGAATTTGACAAAGGAAAATACACAATTAGTCCCAGAGAAAAACTATACTTTCCCCTATATATTTTTAACAGAACGTATTCCTTCAGCACAGACACACTAAAACTATGAACTGAGTTCTGTTTTCGAAATATATATACATATTTACCAGTAGTTCATAATCAAAATAAGAGTGAAACATATAGAAAAGATCTAATTATAAACTCTCTAATTACAAAATTCTCAAGATTTTAAGCGTTCTCTCATTTCTTACTCCACAATGTGTTAAAGGCAAATGCTTTCTTCCCCCTCAGAGCAGAACTTGTAATGCAACCGTGGACCATTTGATTGAGGATCCTAGATGTAATTCCCGATTGCACAGAGCATGTTCTGAAGTTTGCATTCACTGCTCACAGTTAAATCAAAAAATAAAAACTTGATGCACTTACTCTGAAGCTGCAAAGATGGAGTGTGCAGCAATAATATTAAAGTCAGTAAGAGAACAGGGAGAAGTGACCTGGTATAAAAGTCATCACTTGTAAAGCTGAAGGTGAAGGAAGCAGTATTAGCCTGCTTTGCCTTCAGGGAAACTGCTGCAGGACTGCCAAATGCACTTACATCTGAGTTTGGCAGGAACCGCATGAAAATTACTAACTTGCTCTGGGTTTACTTGACTCCAGCCTGTAACCATGCAAAGGCCACTGCACAAGGCCTTGTACAGCTGCTCACAGTAGACTGCAAATGAAAGCCAGGTCAGCAGCTGAGATGAGAGAGAATAGCAATCTGCTTGACAAGTCAAATTAAACATGAGAAATGAGGTTTTCTCCTGACTTTTGTGCTACCTTTGTTAATTATCTCAAATATTTAAAAACAAAGTAAACAAAATATGTATTTCTACAAGTATTCTTGTATTTTCATCACAGCACTGCAGTTATTTACACAGAATTAAAAAGAACAGGTTATTTTCTTAATATATGAATGACACAGTTCAGTATGGTATTTAAATTGGCAAACTACCTGACACTTTAATGTTACTGGGATAAATACATCCCCAAAGATATATGTGACAGTAGTGAGTTAACAGTAAAGTCAGCAAAGCAGAGATATGCAAGTTCAGATCACATCACATGATAGGCTTTCTTCACAGATTTGAAATTAATTAAATATGTAATTCTCATCAACATTAAGACAATTGTTTGACTCATATCCTACCTAACACCGTTGCCCAAAGTGGATGCATAAATGTATTTTTCAAGTCTACCATGTCTGTGTGTCTACAAACTTGAAAAACGCATGGGCGTATGAACGGATAGGTATGCACATGCTATTTAACAGGAGGTATCTATAGATACTAATAGATACTAATATAAACCCAAGAAAGTGGCAGAAAGGTTTGTGTGATCCAAATTCAAATCTTGTCAACTAATTTTGGAAAAATTAAAACCACCGCCTCCCAGCTTCCCTTCCATGCAAATATACAGCAGGCAACTTGGTACGATCGATAAATCTGTGCTTTACTTATAGTGAGTAGGCGACTATGTGCTTTGAAACTAACCTAACAGAATCTAACTGCAACCAAAAGACTCCAAACGCTTGTCTACAGGCACACAGGCACAACAAAACCCATCAGTTTAGTTAGTTTAAGCATTAGAGCCTTAGTTATGGCTCTAATTAATTATGTTCTATCTGTTCAACAGTCTCTTCTAAGTCATCACACTTCCTCCAAAATGAAGATACTAAAATGGACTTTGGGTATGCTGTTGTTCCTACTGCTGTCTATCGGGCGCTGTACAGAACCATCAACCCTCAATAAAACATCCCAACGGAGGCATCCTCGTTCCACAGATGGTGGAGAGGAAGGGAAGAAATGTGGTTACACCTTCTTGGTCCCAGAACAAAAAATCACAGGGCCAATCTGTGTGAATAACGAACCAGGTACTGGTAACAGAAAAGATGAAGTCACAAGAATGGACATAGAGAACTTGAAGGATGTGCTGTCCAAGCAAAAACGCGAGATTGACATCTTGCAGTTGGTGGTAGACGTGGATGGAAACATTGTGAACGAAGTAAAGTTGCTGAGGAAAGAAAGCCGCAACATGAACTCTAGAGTCACTCAACTCTACATGCAACTCTTGCATGAGATAATCCGAAAGCGCGATAACTCACTTGAACTTTCCCAATTGGAAAATAAAGTCCTCAATGTAACAACAGAAATGCTGAAGATGGCAACAAAATACAAGGAGCTTGAAGTAAAATATGCAGCACTGACTGACCTTGTAAATAACCAGTCTGTGATCATCTCCCTGTTGGAAGAGCAGTGCTTGAGAATCTTCTCACGACAGGACACCCATGGGTCCCCACCGCTCGTCCAAGTAGTGCCGCAGCACATTCCCAACAGTCAGCCATACACTCCTGTTCTCCTGGGAGGCAACGAGATACAGAGAGACCCAGGGTACCCCAGAGACAGGGATGTAAGGCCACCACCTGATCCGGCTACTTCTCCTACAAAGAGTCCCTTCAGAGTACCGCCGTTGGCTTTAATTAACGAAGGTGAGTGAACTATTGCTATTTGTCTAATTCCTCAGAAGGAAACTGTCCTGATTATAAGATGAAGAATTAGAGGTACCTCCTATACTAACCCTTCTTCCAGATTGAATTTCTGAACATTGGCTGTTTCAAAAAATGCATCTTCTGCAACTATGGCTTAAAATTGCAATCTGTGAAATAACACCTTTGAGTCACAAAGTGCAGGGGCTGGCACCTCCAGCTGGGTTTTACTTATGGGAGTGAAAATTCATTTTCAGCATATGCTTTCTAGTATCTATTGCTCTTTCTCTGAAGATTCTCAATGACTACATGTTACACTAACTAGTAACAGGGAACACGAGACAAGCTAATTCACCCTAAGTAAAGAAAATAATTTTAAGTAGATGTCCTTTAGAGCTATACGTACAGAACTTGCCAGAAGTTATTCCTGTTGGAAGAATTTTAGCCCTTAAGTTCTGACCTGCTGTAAGATGAGCACCGCACAACAGACAACGACCAAAGGTGTGGATGAAATACTTGAGCGTGAAACAAGTTTGAGAGGACAAATAAAGGAAGGCTGGGTCTTTAAGTGAGTAACTAGGTTCACAACAATCTGATGTTAGTAGGATGTCAAGTAAAATCACAAATATTATGAAAACACATGCAGGGGAATTTATCACATCTTCATGTTGCATTCCTTAGACTATTACATAAATACATTTTTCACTACAAACAGAACTACTGACAAGAAAATTAACTACTACTGAGATGCTCTGAATTCAATTAAAACTCTATTAAATCTTTTTCAGAATTACAGTAAAAAAAATTAAGGATTCAGAAAACACAACTCATGTTTTTCATAGACAACTCTTGCTTTTGGCTTCTTTAGCTTGCACAGCAGGAATAGTTAGCCTTCTATTCACCCCTAAGTTGCCTTTAGTTACAGTTGGAAATTCAGCTTGGTTCTTAAGTTGAAGGCATTTATTTGTGATTATCTCACAGCAACACAAACAACTAGCTGCTGATGTAAAGAATGACTACTTCTATTCAGATCTGTAGAACATTCAGGCATGAGCCCAACTCAAATGTCAGATGCCATGAGAATTTAAGTCACACATCATGACACAAAGGGAACAGCTAATATAAAAGCATTAACATCCAGTCACACAGCATAAGTATAATTCCAAAAAACAGCCATTTCCTGTTTCCCAGAAAACCTATGCTTCAAGGTTGCATGTTTTTTAGATGTATCATTTTCTCTCATTACATACCTGCTGTACACGTGAAATGAAGCAAATTAAATTATCTACTAGTTTTCACTGACCCATTAATTCCTAGAAGTCCACAATTTAAATCCATTTTTACAAAGGAGCACAAAGCACAAAACCTTAGGAAGATTAACTTATTCAAAGAAACAGCTGCACGCAACAAGTTATGAAAATGTCAAATGTGCATTTTCAATTGCTAGCGGGGAGTAAAACTCAGAAAGTCTGGGGGAACAGCAGGCCCAGCTCACTTTCAGAACAGTTCTTCAATTTGCATTAACATTGCTTTAGAAATTGAGGAAGAGTTTTCCACGAATTTCAGTTGTCACAGTTATCTCAGTGCTTGTGATAACAGCCAACATCCCCAAATCGTCCTGCATTTGTGTTAAAGCACAAAAGCAGCTACAAATTGAACAGGTACTTGAAAATTCCACATGCACAACCTAATGCACATGCTAATACATCCCAGTTAATAATGTAACTTAAGTATATACCCTGCTTTATTTTGGGATTTTCCTTTAGTACTGATCATAGTCCTCTGTGCGAAGCTCAAATAAGCATTATTTCTATGTCATCAGTCCAAGAGAAGACAACAGAATATGGAATGTATTGTAAATGAATGTAAATCACGTGTCTAAAACATTTCAGAAGTAAAATACTAACAGATCCATCACGTTCTTAACTTAAAACTACTTAAAACCACTGAAAAGTTGTGTCAGTTTGCCCCAACACCTTAGTAAACACAGACTGTTACAGAACACACAGAGGAGTTGGATTAGATGATCTCCAGAGGTCCTTTCCTGCCCATACGTATCACATAATCATAGATTTCTATTCCTTACACAGGTAATACATTTTTAACTAAACTTAAAAGCAACAGGATTTCAAAGGTACAGCTTTTTTTGATTAAGAAACCCTGCACCCGTACCAACACTATGGTAAACACTGTGGAGAATCTTTCACTATTTCAGAATCTCAGCATTTGCACTGAACAAGGAATGGATCTCTTCTTAGACCAGGAATTTAAAATCAAATTGGATGTAACAAGTTTTACTCCTCAAAAAAAAAAAAAAAAAAAAAAGAAAAAATTGAGACTATGCACCTGAAGTCATGGGATTTGATACTTTTCCTAATGCTGAAAGCAGAAGTTTGTCAACTCTAGTACAAGACTAATTCACAGTATGGACACAGACAAATCTGAGCATCAAAAAGCAGATAAACTACATCCTATGGTCTTAATGCCATTTGAAGTTCAATGGCTTTGGCTAGTACAATTTGTCTGCCATGAAAGCTAAATCCCTTAAAATCACTCCAAACATCTGCACAGTTTGCTCATGCAAAAATGGACCCCTCATTTCTCCTCAAGAGGAAATTAAAGGAAATAATACATGGCAGGTCTAATTGAGCTATTTTCAATGTTTAATATTATTAAAAACCTACTTCTGTTTACACTTCTTCTAATGCAGTAACTGCTTCACGAGAATACTTGTAGAGTGACCTCGGTGTTCAGTTATACAGAGCCCAATTTTACTCCAGGCAGTTCAAGGAAAGGAAACGACATCAAACCTAGCCTAGGAGATGCATAAAGAAGTTGCAATGTACATTATCTACATGGAAATTTTAACTGTGAACAAGGGAAAAAACACTCATAGCAAAGCTACTGTGTTTCTTTCCTAAACATAATATGTGCAATGACATAATAACACTTGTAACATAATAATAAGACAAGCACTAAAAGAATGACAAAACATCAGATATTGACCACACAGTATGCACAGCAGTACAGCTCAGTGTGGGCAGGCACTGCTGCAACCAGAAGCTGCAAGTCACCTACTCCAGATACACAAACTTTCTGCGTGCTCATTAATATGAAATGTTCTACAGATTTCTTGCTAATTATAGACTTAGGTAACAGGGAAGTAATACCTAAAGAATATATTTAAAAAAAAAAATAAAATTTCAATTTGCTTTTGCCTTGGAAACTTCGTCTGCAATGAAGGTCACTTTCACTCAACCTCTGCTTTTAATTAAGGAACCTCAACAGCAGTCTTTCATGCCTCTTTTCACATTAGCCTCTTCTGTGACTGATGAGAATTTTTTCTGATCTTCCAGATTTGAGAAAAAAAAAAAATAATAATGGAAAGCAGTAGGTCATTTATTTCCAGATTTACTGAGTTTGAGCTTTTAAATGCCTTTAAAGCATCCTCCATTTACTAGCCATCAGAGCACAGCCTGCTTTGCTTTACTAAATAGCTGGTCTCTAATCAAGCTGACTGAAGTAACGATACATGAACAGACATAATTAAAATATTACCAAAAATGAAAGGCAAATAAAGCAAACATTAGAGTTATGTAAGGTCCATGCTTATTACTGTATGGTCTTCTGTAAGTAGTGTTTGTAAAGTCTATATTCCTATGCCCCAAAATAGAGTTTCCAAGCAGCCCTGCCAATAATACTTTTTAGAATCACGAACCTGAAAACACACGTGTGCCCTATTAGCTGCTCAAAGCCCATCTGCCACCACTTGCCTATTTCCTCCCTCGGAGCAGCCCTTCCACATGTAGCACAAATGGGCAGCACATGAAACTCACACAGACTCCCACTCACATTTATTTAGCCGGCTGCTCCTTGGATGGGGTAAGAACACAAAAACACAAGTGATGCACTGTAAAGATACTCCGTTTCCCTAAATTCCACATCTGTACGTTCTGGCACTAAGTAGCTCTCTAGGACTGTGCGTTCAAGTGTGGGAGGCTTTGTTTTGGTTTGTGTGTTTCGTGTCTGGCTTTCTTCACTTTTGTTTTCAACTGACCAGTTTCAATTGAGCACGCTACAAAGTAAGTTGCCATTTAAGTTTGGTATAAGTGGTAAAGGAGGAAACAGTTGATGCAAATTGTAACGTACTTCTTCAGCACCACCAGCCAGGGAATAAATCCTTGCCAGGACAGTTAAAAATCACATGCTGCTAAATGAAGTGTGTTATCTGTTCAGCAAAGTTATTATTTTATTCAAAATAGAATGTGATGCATTTATTTTTATACTTTATATGCATACATACAAAGCAACTTTTTATGCTGTTTTTCATAGCAATTTTACCTTGACTGAATTTCTGACTTTCCATTATCTCCAAGTCTTTCACGGCAAAACCAAACATTTTGGAACTGTGTGCACCGCACAGCCAACCTTGAACTCTGACAGAATTTCTCTCCATAAAGGTCCGTTCAAAGACTGCCAACATGCCAAAGATGCTGGGTATTCCAACAGTGGCATTTATATGATCAAACCCGAAAACAGCAACGAACCAATGCAGTTATGGTGTGAGAACAGCTTAGATCCCGGAGGATGGGCAGTTATTCAGAAGAGAACAGATGGATCTGTCAACTTTTTCAGGAACTGGGACAGTTACAAGGTAACTTCTGGAATGCTGAAAATCAGCACCTTCATTTTGGTGTGACACTGAGTTATCTATGTTATCTACTGCAGTCCAGGTGTTAACATCCCCAATGCAATTCTTCATCCTAAATGTTCCCCGTGAGTGGTAAATACTGAAGAGATGAAAATAGAGTGTCACTTAAGCTAGAAAGGAAATGAACTGCACAGAAGCAGGAGGGGCTCTCCTCAGAGATGGATGCATTTCAGTAGGAACGTCTTATTTCACTGAATGCATTGCTTAACTTTGTATTGACTCACAGTTTGAAACTGTCTGTTTGTAATGCACAACACAACATTTGTGAAGAGATGTTACTCTAGACAGTGACTGGGAAGTCATTAATTACAGGGACCTAACTGAACACATGCTTTCCATTAACACACAAACTACAGTAAGTACTCAGAAAGTTTAATTGTCTCCTCTATGAATAAGTAATTCCGGGCAGTGAAATTATTCATTTGAGCATACCAAAAGAGTTGTAGAATCAGGGCCTCAACTTTAAAATGTTCTTAGTGATAAATTAAAAGAAATCATTCTCACACCTTTAGAACTATATCAGAAATCTTTGCGAGATGTAGGGCTTGTGAAGGGAAACATGTTCTTACTGTGATACCATGCGTATTATGATATATTATGCTATATTATGGTATCAGGCAATACACCTGGGCCAAAAAAAACCCATACTGCTTTGAAATAATTACATCCTCAGCAGAAAATGTGAAAATCTGTTTTTTTTGTTTTTGTTTGTTTTTAAACAATCACGGTCTAACTTCATAGATGCAGGGCAGCTCTTTCCTGTGTGCTTACTTCAAACGGACCTCCAGTTGTGGCTTTCCTTATATTTAAGAGAAAACAGACATTTAACTCAATTGGACCAAAAGCATCACCTATGCAAAGAAATGACAAGATTACTAGGAGGATTTTCACCTTTTTTTTTCTTTCCTCACTACACTTGTAGAATTTAATCATTACTCTTTAACAGTTGTTCAGTCTTTATTTCTGAGAATGGTGGGTGGGCTTTTCCCACACACCTCAAAATATCATAAGGCAGTTAGTTATATCATCTTACAAAGTCGCCATAAGCATTTTTAACATAACACATTGGAAGTGTGTAGTAAGAGAGTATAATGTGTGTACAAGAGTGTATTAAGTGTATTATGAGTCTATAACTGGCACTTGACAGAAGGCCAATCTTGATCAAGCTTGCTCCCAAGTGATTTTTCATTTTAGTAGGCTTCAATGTGTTAAGAGAGAAGCTGAAATCAAGCAATACACCATTCAAATTAAATACATGTTCTGTTGTAATGGCTGAAGATTGTATTCTTAGTATCCTTATTACCAAACCTCGAGTACTTAAAGGCACACTACTGCATGCAGCTGACTTAAATAAACTGCAGGCTGCACTGCCGACAGCACGGATGCCCCCCATTCTATTTTTGTGTGCCTGCACAGCTCCATTAGTGCAACTGACAACTCTGCCATCTTTAATGAATCTCTACTATGTCATTCTGCTAGTAGTTCATAAATAGCTAGCAGTAAATAAATGGCCAAGGGCAGCAAACAACGCATTTAAATGCATGTGTTGAGTAGCCATCCTGGAGTTTGAAAGGTGTTCAGTACCCCAGTTCCATTGGTTTATAAAACTCCTGCTGATAAAAGCCTGACAAACAAGAAAAACTGGAGTGAACATCTCCTTCTTATCTTTCGTACAGAAAGGATTTGGAAACATTGATGGAGAGTACTGGCTGGGACTAGAAAATATTTACATGCTTACCAATCAGGATAATTACAGACTACTGATTGAATTAGAGGACTGGAGCAACAAGAAGGTCTATGCAGAATACAGCAGCTTCCGTCTGGAGCCCGAAAATGAATTCTACAGGCTACGCTTAGGAACATACCAAGGAAACGCAGGCGATTCCATGATATGGCACAACGGAAAGCAATTCACAACACTGGACAGAGACAGAGATATGTATTCAGGTAAGGCAACTACCACCTACTTGAAAAACACACACAGTAGATTCCAGCAGTGATATCCTTAAAGAAAAAAATACAAGAAAAACGATGCAAGTTCTGATAGAATAACTCAACTAAAAGATATTTAAAATAGATCAAGAAAAATTGCACTGATTTCGTAACTTAGCTCAATGACAACCTCACCTCACGCATGTGATTCTTTGCAGTCAGGACACCTTCCCAGGTGAGCTCCCAGAACAGCAAGGCCACATAAATACAACCTCCATGAACAGAAGGTTCTGAATAGCACCAAAGGAACTGCAGCTGTGAACAGGCTCTTAGTTACATGACTATACTTGAGAAACGGGCAGATCACTTCATTTAATTCTCCTTAAAGAAGGCTTTGTTATTTCTTTTTTCTCTAAAACCTTAGGGCTAAGAGAAGAAGCAGAGAAGTATAACAATAGAACTGCACTTAAGAATTAGTCTCTATTTTTTCCTCAGCTGTCAATAACCAAAAAGCTACACAAACTCTGCAAACTCACAGAAGCCTCACAGAGTGAATGCACAATTAGCAAGCAGTGATCTGTGGAACGTGGACCCGAGTGCTGCTTGGGACTGCATCAATTCACATCACTTCCACAGAAGTATTTCTGAACAGCACATAACCCAAGTTCTTTGAACGTTAGCTCACTGAAAAGCACTGCTAGTATTCTGAGAACAGTTGATCTCCATAGTTTTCAGCAGTCACATTAAGTACCGTGTTAATTATCTCCCTCCAGACAGAATGCAGAATTTAGGTAGAAGCAGCAACTGATATGACTGCAACAAGACACTGAAAGTCCCCTCTGAGAAACAGCCAGAATGTGAAAGTGTTTTACTGATCTCCTGCATTTCTTCTCTACTAACAGTGACTTTACCTACTTCTTTCTGTTCCACAGGAAACTGTGCTCATTTCCACAAGGGAGGCTGGTGGTACAACGCATGTGCACACTCCAATCTCAACGGGGTGTGGTACAGAGGAGGCCACTACAGGAGCAAATACCAGGATGGAATATTTTGGGCTGAGTACCGGGGAGGTTCCTACTCCTTGAAAGCAGTTCAAATGATGATCAGACCTATAGACTGAGGAGGAAAATCCCACAGTGCTCAAGCCATCAAGTATAAACTTATCGGTGCTTGGGTTACAGAAAAATAAAATATTACTTCCAAATCATTATTTTGCACAATCTGTCCCTGCAAAATGCAGGCCTACTATTTTCCTTTCTCCCCAGTTGCCCCTTGCCTTCTTTTTTTTTTTTTTTTTTTAATTAAAGAAACCTTTTCTACTGTAATAGACAGTGTTTTTCAAACATGTATTCAACACAAACAGATGTTCACATTTGTGATGCGTATTTATCTATGTTCAAGCCCAACATGCTTCATGTAAACAACCTTTAAGGTTGGTAAGAAAGACGTCCAGATAAATGAAAAGATACAAGCTTATCACTTAAAATGCTTGTGCTTCTTCAGACCAGTTCAACCCTTAAATGTAAATATGTGAAATGACATTGTCTTGCTTTAATGTGAAAATTAACCAGTTATTTAACAATTTATTTAAAAATGTTGCTATAACTCAATGAAAATCTGACTTCACATTACTGTTTAAGACTTACGCCCAGAAGCTACCTAAAAAACTGAAGACATGCTAGCTTTCCAACAGAGGGAGATTTTGCTACAAATAATTATTTCAAAATGAAGTGGTGAATTAAACATACATTTCTTAATGGTGTAGGAATTCCCTAAGATCTGCAGGTCATAACTTCTGCTCAACACTTACACAAAGAGAGAAAAAGAACAGCTCTTTGAAGTGGATGATAAAAACTCAAGACAACCAAATCATTCACCCTACTTAAAAACATCTTTTGATACTTCAAACTTAGATGGCAAAATGGAAAAGTTCCGATAATAAAATCAGGACTTTACATGTGGAGATTCTCTCCTGCTTCCATTAGGACTGATGAGGTCTGAACAGATACTCACAAGTGTTAGTTTAGAGAAGAACCAAGTCTCACAAGAGTAATACAAGTTTTCTACCTGTCAGCCTCTATCATACCAACATAGCTTCCTGCTGACATAGATTAGGAATCAGCTCTGAGAACCCAAAACTAGTGGACTGCTCTTATGACACAAATATTTCCCCTCCCCTATGTGTATACTACTCTAATTCTATCTATATTAAATGTTTTTGCCTTCTGGATATCTGACTTCCACTGGGATTAATATGTAATTTAAGAAGTTCATTAGAAAATACTTCCCCAACCTTCAACAAATGCAATACAAGATAATGCACCAAAACAACATACTTCCCAAGCATGACATAACCAAATGCTCATTTAAGCTATCAGAGTCTGAAATGCAACCAAAACATTTCTTTGGCACTTCATATGTTTTAAAAGAACTTTGCCCCACTTAGCCTAAGAAGCAGTAACAGCTAAAACAAGAATTTAACATTATTGTTGTACCCAAATTAATCAACACCAACAGCTCTACAAAACATTGTAATTTAGAGGAGAGAAAAGAGCATTTTGGTTTCAAAGCACATTCCCTCTATATTTTAATAGGTCATATATGGCTTCAAGGGTTGTAGTTCATCTTTTTGGACAGGGATCGAAGTCAGTGAGTTTCAACAATATTTAGCTGAGGGTGGGGGAAAGAGGAAAACAACGAATCAGTTCCAGCATATTTCATTCCTGACTTTCAAGAATATTAACAGATGTTATTTAAGATTGCAGTTCTGAAATTGGACTTCATGTAAGGAGTATTTGTTTGTTACAGACGTTGTACAAACCTCATTGATTGAGTGTTCTACAAAATGCTTTTTCAATTGCAGATGCTTAAAATTCAAGCCACCTATAGTCTACTCTTTTTTCTGTGGTAGCTAGTTAGAAAAGCAGTTCAGTTAAGTCTTAAAACTGAAAATGACCTGGGAAATGGTCTTTAATGAACACTTCTGTCAGCTTTAGTTACTTCAACGTACAGATTTCATCTGCTTGGAAGAGATCTTGTTTTACCACAAGAATCTACTGCCCGCTACAAAAACAGCATGTGTTTATTCAGCACAGTCAGTGAAAGGTGTGTTCTGCAGAAATCCCTTGGTGAAATCAGTTTGCAGTCAGCCTTTAAATTAAATCTTATTAGACACCTAAGACAGCCTCCCTTAATTTAAAACTACAGAATGAAGTCAACTAAACATTACTACAAATTTACCTCAAAGCTTCTGACTGCACAAATGCCATAAGAGGAAAGAACTCCTCTCACGTTGCCAGGTTATGATTACAAGGAGAGTGAATGTAACACCTCTTTATCAAGTTGATTTACATCTCACAACAAACTTCTACTTACAAATGCTTACAATACTATCAGTAATTCTGGGGCTAAATGTTCTAAGCAGTGTAAATGATTATGTTTTTGTGCTGTCTCTCACTTTTCTGCAGCAGTTTCCCAAAGAGGTTGTAGCAGCATCCCTCAAGCTTATTGCACTAGACATTGAGAAGCACTGTCCCAGAAGGACAGAGCTTTCACCATTCCTGTAGGGCCACTTCAAATATAACCAAACAGACCTTGAAAATGTTTAAACTGTTAAAGGCTGAAACAGTTTGCAAAAATGTTTCCAAAGTGTCTTTGCAAGCAACACCACTGAAGTAGCTGAATGGTCAGCAGATGAACACTTCAATAATCTGTTTTCCCATTTCTGGATATAGATCCTAAAAGACAGCTATAAGGAAGCATTTCACACAGTAGTACTGCTTAGTTAAATAAAAACCTCACTTCTCATGACGTGGCTCACTTGTTTCATTGCACAACCTCAGATCTCTCAGAATTCTGTAAGACTCCTGAGAAAGTGCATTTGTTCCAAGGCAAAATATAACATCATAGACACAGCTGCCATTTGTTTTGACTACTCTAATGGGTCAGGTGATTCAGCAGCGATAACACATCCCAGACCAGACAATGAGGACTTCATACTGCACTCATTTATTGCCCTCGAACAGCTTCTAACTCTCACATTCAGGTTAGGAGCCCACAGACCACGTGCTGCTTTTACTTGCCATTCGAGATCTCTGCAGTCAAGACATTTCTTGTTGTTACAAGGAACTGAAAATCTTTCTTGGTAAGTATGGAAGAATGTTTTTGTCTTGTCCACAGTGAGTTGTGGTAAGCAGTAAGAAAACAATCTGTACTTCTGTGGCTCAGAAACCACCTCCATTGCAAAGGCAACACAATAAAACAGTTAAGCTTTAAACCATAACACAAAGACAGTAAAAAAAAAACCTGAAAGATATCCAACGCCCACATTTGGTTGAATGGACAAATCTAGATCTCTCCAGGGTAAAACATAAGTCCTGGAAATCGCAGCTGAGATACCTGTATGTGCTCACTACACTACGGTCTTCCAAGCAGTGCCCTTCACCACCAAGGCAAGCACTGCTCTGGAAGGGATTTCCAAAAGTTACTATAGAAGATTTGATTCTCTGCACTATTCTGAAGAGCAGTTTAGAGGATAACAGAAACCTCAGCAGCTGTGTGAACACTGAAGGGAGCCCCTTCTTTTCTGCAGAAGGAAGGGACCTTATGATTCCTCCCCTCTGCAGCACATACCATCTTCAGAACTGCAATTTAGGTAGAATTCTGCACACATTTTGAACAAGGAGCAGCAATACGCCTGCATCTGATTCTGAAGTAACAGCAGAAAACCATCCTTCCAGGAATTGTAATTTGCAGCTGGGAAGCTTAAAACAGAAAGCAAGTTCGGTTCTTCTGTCCCATATCAGGCTCAGGTCAGCATAAACTCCTTGGGAAAGAAACATCAGAAATAATACTCTGCAAATCTACTCCAGTGTTTCTGGAGATGAAAAACTGATCAAATGAGAAAACTAGGACTCCGCAGTCGACCTTGCAAGATGGATGCAGATTCACCACAACTGTAGCTGCAAAGCAATTTGCTTGTTTGTTTGGCCACACGTATAAATCTTTCCACATTAATTTTAGAGCAGCGCATCGATGAGCATTTGCTTTTTCTTATGAGAAGTATAGGCTCAGGGGACACTGTGTCATTACTGAGAATTCCTACCACAGGAAAGCAGGTCACAAAACCCCCTAACAACAGCTGGTCACAGCAAAGCACTAAGCTCCCCTTCTTCCTAAAAAATATTTACTTTGATAAATTATTAAGTCAAGCCAAAAACTTACTCTGAACCAAAAAGTTACACAGAGTTTCTCATGTATGAAGAGGAAACCATCTGTAACAGAAGAAAACCTAAAAAATCCCCTAAAAATGTGGAGAACAATGTTCTAAATATAGACTGGCAGGTAGTAAAACAGTATGTTAAAAATGCCTGACAAAGAGACCAGAGTGCAAACAACTCTCTGCATAGAAGTAGGTTTTAGAAAACCATAATGGCACAGGACAGAGTATCACGAGATTTGGAAAAAATCTAAAAGCAGGTTGGCTTGAGACTCTGTAATAGGCAAGGAAACAATTTGAGCCTGGCTTCATATCTAATAAATCATAGCATATAAGGTAAAAAGCTTCTAGAAAGCTAGAAATTCCATTTCAGAACAATATGCAGATCATATATAAGCATACAGATGAATGGGCAAAGTACAAAATGCTATTTTTAATTACATTACATTCTGTTTGGCGTTTGTGGGCCCTTTTAATTGCTCTGTTAACAAACTGAATAAGTGTGTGACATGCACCATGCTGTCAATTCTCACACACACACTACAGACAAAACAGGCTTATGCTGAGTATTTCAAGGTTCCATTATAGACATGAACCATTACCAATATTCTGGGAGAGATGTAAAATGGAAATGAAAAATGAGGACAGAATGACAAATTCTATAGGATTGCTTTTTGTAATTACTACTACTTCTGCAGAGTAAAGTGTTTCTTCCTATTCGAGTCCAGAGCATGAATTTAATGCAACTATGATGCACTTTAGAAGTATTCTAGATAGAAACAAAATTGATGGCAACATGGCTCACATCAAGCAATGAAGCAGATGATGCAATATCGTGATGAATATACTGATGACAGCATAAAGAATGTTGTTTTGTAAAAGATGATATTAAAAAGTAGCATCAATCAAAGAGATTACATTTTAGTGAAACACAGCTATCAGCTTAAATTTAGGTGCGAGAGCACCTGAAACCCACAGGGGTATAATTTTTTTTTTCTGGAGAAGGAAAAAAATGAGTAAACATTTCCTGAATTTTGTATAACCACTGACACCTTACGGTACCAAAGAAAAGCTACATTATAACAACACAATCACCATGGACAACATAAAACGCTGAGACACTGAGTGACACTAGATCAGCTTGGAAGCCAAAACAAACACTAAGCATTTATGTAGCTTTCACAGGTACAAAGGAATATCAGTTACTGAATTATCCCATAAGTGAGTCAGTAGTAAATATCCAGTTACACTTGCCATCTTAATATAACTGAATGCAACAATAGCTGCAGATTTCAGCATGTTCTAAACCTTAGAACCTGCATTTATTTATCAGAGGCTGCTGATTTAAAGCTTCTCATAAATTAAAGTCCAGCATTACTGTAACATTCAAATATTTAGCTCTTCAAGAGTGCTAGCAAGCATAACAGTTTAAGCACTTCTCCAGAAGTCAGCGTAACTATACAACATATGGGAAAATCATTTACTAGAAAACTGAGCCTGTATGTAGAACTTGAAGTGTTTGTGAGGTTTAATAGCAACTTTCTTCCTGAAGCTGGTGAAGCTTTTTCTTGCCAAATACAGAATACACGAAACCAACTGGTGGTTCTATACTCTTCACTGAAGTACTGAAGCAGTTTCACGTACGTTTAAACGACACCGTTCAGTTTGTGTAATCACTGCAGAAAGGTTTTTCATTAGCGTTTCCCATTTGAAACACTTCAGCTTACCTAAATAGGGAATACATGGAGTCATCTTCAAGCTGCTGATGTAATCCCTAAGCCTTTTGTAATTATCTTCTTTACTCATAACATACTCCAGCTTTTCAAAAGTGGCTTTGTCCTTCCGACTCAGTAACTACAAAGAAAAAAAAAGGCAGAATCAGTTGAGATGAAGTTGGATTGTTATGACTGCTCAAACTTTTACCCTTAAATGCATGCTTTTATTTTAATTCTTTTGTTTCCCTCTCTCCCCCTTTTTTGGTTACTCGTTTTGAAGTATGATTGCTTAAAATTACAGCATTTACTCCTTATGGATAAATACTTTAAGGACAAATATAGAAAAGTGCTATTTCAGTGGTCAAATTTAAATAAGCCTTCTAAAGAAATAATCAAACGTAAACCTTGGTGTGCTGGTGATCCTTCTGAAATAATACAAGTTTTCCAATGACTAATCTAGCTAAAATACAACATTCCACACGCTTGACCACTTTTGCAGTATTTCGAAGTCGCAGTTTATTCATTGTATTGATCTTTAAAGTTAAGGTTTGCTTGTCAGAAGTACCAAGTTTCATATTAATCCAGTTTCAGAAAAACCCAAATTCCAAAATGTTTTTATTCTTGAATTGAAAACTGTTTTAACAAATTAGTCTTTTGAAGAGCAAAATCATATCATTAAAATCTGATAAATATCCTTAAACAAACTACAAATAATAAAATGAATGCAGCTATAGGCATCCACATACTTGATGCGCTGGAAGAGTGTAAAGATTTGATCCATTTTTCTCTATAGAAAGCAAACAGAAGACTTGAGTACAGGCTGTATTTATTGTTCCACCAGCTAGCAACTTCACTGGATCTTATCAGTATTACAGTGACCTCCACTCAAAATATCAAACAAAGTCATTGAGGCTCCTCCAGTGCTCTCCCCATCCCAACAACTTCCTTTGACAGTATTAACTGAACACTGAGCTCTCTTTGCAAAACTGAGGAATAAACAATGTCTTTTTGAAACATCTAACTGCACTACTGTTGCAAAGCCACATTAAAGGCTTCATTTCAGCTTGGAGCCAAAATTTAAAGGAAGGTGCAAGATGTTTACATTTGGCAGAAGGCTTGGTTTCCCAGCCTCCCAATCACTTTTTCCCCCTCACAAGATCCTTAATAGCACAAGAATTACAAGGTGCAGAACACTTAATTCTTTCATTCCCTTTTCTTTTTCAAATGAAGGTCAACTCATGTGACACAACTGAATTGAAATAAACCTTCAAGTTCTAATTTCTCTACTGAAATAACTGCTTTTTCTACCTATGTTGCCTACATCTTAATCTTCATTAGTGAATTTAACAGCGTCTTTCAGAATAAAATCACTTTTAAAGAGGAATTTGTTTTCCAAGACACGTTGGTCTTCCACATTCCAGCAATTAACTTACATTGTTAGCTTTGCTTCTAATATTCTAATGAGCAGTAACTCATGTCTGCCGTTTCAATGAGGACGTGCCAATTGCAGGACAAAAAGAAAAAACAACAGCAAAAGCAACAGTAAGGAGTCACAACTTCCTCCCAGCCACTGGGACATTACATTTATCTTTTTAACTTTATCTCCTCAAAGATGGCTTTGTTTTTATCAGCCTAGATGTGCTTGCTTTCAATAATATTAAAAAAATATGTATTTTGTCTGCATATCATGCTTGGAAGTCTTTCTGGCTTTTGTGGACTGGAGGGTATGGCAAGTGGATATTCAAGCTTGAATTAAGTTACTGCACCTTCCTGAAAACAAACACACAGAGCTGCACAGTCTCAAAGTCTGATATTTCATTTCAGGCTCTTTGAACAATCTCTAACAATAAGTAAAGCCCATAAGAGATTCCCTT